GCAAATTAAAACCACAATGAGTTATCACCAATGTTCACTAGAATGGCTAAAAATTTAAAATCTTACAAAACCGCACGTTGATGAAAAGGTAAAACAACCAGAGTTCTCATACATGGCTTGTGGAAATGTGGTAATTTTTAATGGAGTCAAATATTCACCTACCCTTTGACCCAGCAATTCCATACCTAACTATTCGTTTGTCTAAAAGGAATGAAAACATATGTCCACAAAAAGACATGTTTAGGAATATTCATAGAAACTTTGTCCATAATAGCCAAAAAAGATAAAATAACATCAACAGAAGAAAGGATGGTTGTAATTCACACAATGGAGTATTATTAAGCAATAAAAAGGATCTAACTTCTGATATACACAACAGCATGGATAAGTCTTACAGACATGCTAGGTGAAAGAAATCAGATATAAACGAGTACATATACTGTATGTTTCCATTTACTGTATATAATATTCTAGGTCCAGCTGGGACTCATTGAGATGACAAAGTTCAGAAAAGTGATTAAGGCAGGGAAGAGGAACTAACTGGAAGACACATAAGGGGATTTTCTGTGGTAGATGTAATGTTCTATGTGGTGATATTGGTGTGGATTACACGGGGAATCCACTAAACATGGCACGTTAAGAATTGTGTATTTCACTGTGTATAAATTACACCCCATATAAACGAACTGTGAAAGTCTTAATAATAACAATTGAGTAGGGCGGACTAAGGAACAGGTGGAAGTAGAGCTTAACTAGAAATGGAAGAATGTTGATCATGGCTGACGCAGAATGATGAGACATGGAGATTCAGAGTAGGGTGTGGGCAGGAGACACATCACCCCAGAAAAGGAAAGTAGGGGTACAGGCAGGGAGAAGTGGAATAGGGCAGAGATGGCAAAGGGAAATTTGTGAGGTGAGGCAATCACCTGACTATATGGGGGAGATTGTGTTAACTGATTCTAAGGAAAAGCAAATCCTGAAAGGACGAGAAGGTGCATCTTGGAAAAACTGGGAATTGGAAACAGGAGATAGAGAGATAGAGATAGAAACAGAGAGAAAGAAAGATAGAAAACAAGAATAAGAATTGCATCTTGTCTCTGGGAAGACACCATCCCTTGAAGGAAAACACAGATTTTCAGGAGCCAAGGAGCCTTGGACAGAGCAAAGACTGACTTTGATTGGCTAAATGAACGTATCCAGAAGGGAGGTTTCAACAGAACTCTTGATCTTTTTTTTTTAAGTAGGAGTCTCACTCTGTCGCAGGCTGGAGTGCAGTGGCATGGTCACAGCCGCCGCTGCCTCAACTTGCTGGCCTCAGGCGATCCTTCTTCCTCAGCCTTCCAAGTAGCTGGAACCCCAGGCATGTGCCACCACACCCAGCTAATGTTTTGATTTATTGTGGAGATGAGATCTCACCATGTTGCCGCGGCTGGTCTCGAACCTTTGGGCTCAGGCAATCCTCTCACCTCAACCTCCCAAAGTGCTGGGATTATAGGTGTGAGCCATCGTGCCCAGTCTTAGGACTCTCAATCTTATTAGAATAGTCTACCTATTTGTAGTGTGTATTTGGAACCATCTCCATAGTTGGAGGCTCTGCCTACACAAATCTTTTCAGTGTCTGGCTATTGACTATTTCCTCACCAACATTGTAGCAAACACTTTTTGAGCAACTACTGTATGCCAGACCCTTTGCTAGACAAACATGGTTGAGGCAAAGCCCCTTTCCTGAAGAGGAGCTCATTCGGTCAATGGCAGTGAAGAGACGCCTCAAATGAGAGGAGGGAGAACTGACTGGAACATTTTTAGTTTTTCCTCACACACTCCTATATTCATCCCCCAAGATATGGTTAGGAGCTGAGAGCGTACAAGCTGGTGAACAACAGTGAGTGCCTGAGATAATGAGGTCCAAATACTTTTCTCTTCAGTCGATTCCTGAGTGTCTGAAATGTACCACTTAACGGGAACAATGGATTAAGTAAATTATTCCCCTGCAGATGACCACATATGTATCTGACTTCACAGGATTGGAAGCTCTTTCTTCCCTTCCATATTCCTTGAGGGGCTGGGCTGGGTCCTTCTTGACTCCCTATGCCATGAGCAGTAACCCAGTGCTTTGTGGAGGCTAGGGAGGCTAGTAAACATTTATTAAATGCCTAAATAAATAGGAGATTTATAGTAGAAGGGGAAAGAGCGGGGTTTGCAAAGCAGTTTACCCTGTGAATTTGTTTTTTTTCAGTTTCTGGTTGAGGTCATAGAAGGTTCGAACCCAGCCAAGTCACCATTCCTGTTCCTTCCCATCTGACTGTAAACAATCCCCTTTGATCTTTGAGCAAGGTGGTAGGGTGGAGACTGCTCCTAAGGGGGCCATAGAGGGAGCTATGAAGGGAAAAGGCAGGACACACTCCTCCTAACTGACTGCTTACCTTGCCAAGACGTGCTGCCTTCTGCTGGCTGAAGTTCTTACATAAGTCTCCGAGGTATCAGAGCTGCTTCTCAAAGGCCCAAGCGGTGTTCTTGGGAGCATTGATACTTTTTATACAATAATAATTATTGTTTGTCAGATGCTTAGTATGTGCCGGGAACTGTACTCATCTGCCTCTCCTCATTTAAACCTCCCGACACGTCACCGAAGGTACATTTTTACCCTATTTTGCAGGTAAAGAAACTGAGGATCAGAGAGGTTTGAGTGACTTGCTCAAAGTTACTCACAGGTGAATGACAGGTGGATAGAGCATCAGGATTGGAATGTGAGTTTTACAGTCTGTCTGTCTCCTCTTCAGGGTAGTTTTAATTTTCTTTTCGGGTTAGGGAAAGAGTGATTGGGAGAATGCTTGAGCTGGGGCACAGGCAGTGAACAGAACTGCAGTGGCAGCTACCTTGGTGGAGGGCTTAGGCCTAGGGCTGTTGGATGGAGCTGCTGAGGACCTGGCAACTTAAGCTGAGGACCCTGAGCAGGCGCCAGCAAGCAGCAAGAGGCCCCCAGGGTGGCCACAAAACCATCACTGTCACCATCCCACAAATGGAGCATAAAATGCCTGGCATGTGCTACTTTCTTCACCTGAAGGGTCTCTTTTAATCCTCTTGGCTTTGAGGGTGGCACTGTTAATATCATTCCCACCCTACGAATAAGAAAGCTGAGGCTCACGATCTTTTGCAAGGGTAAACCCTGCCTTTTTCTCTTCACTTCCTTTCTTCCTAGCATCCTATCATCCCTGTATCTGTACATCTCCATCCGGAACTCACTCTCCAGTCCTTCCCTGAAGCCATCCTCCTTTGAATGTGCTGAAGTGTGGTCAATATTAAGAGGGTTGCCAGGTTTAGCAAATAAAATTATGAGGTGTGCAGCTAAATTTGAGTTTCAGATCAATAACAGATACTTTTTTAAAGTATATGAATGTTCTGGCTGAGCTAGCAGCTCATGCCTGTAATCACTGCATTTTGGGAGGTCAAGGCCGGAGGATCACTCGAGGCCACGAGTTTGAGACAAGCCTGGGCAAATAACACCTCATCTCTACCAAAACAACAACAACAGCAACAAAACCCCAGAATGTTCCAATATTGTGTGTATTGCATGGGACATTCATAAACTAAAATTTATCCATTGTTTATCAGAAATTCAAATTGAATTGAGCATCCTGTAACACATCTGGAAACCCTAATATTTTAAAGGTCCCACTGTGCTACTGTGCTTGGGCTTGGAGTTATCTGACCCTTCCCAAGCTTCTCCCTTCCAGGCCTCTCTATCTACAGAGTTTTGATAGGAGTCAGGCTATTCTGGGAATTGCACAGACCTAATGTAGAGGAGAGAGGCACTCATTACCTCACTGCTGCAAGGCTGGGTCAACCAGCAGAGCCTGGGGGGACAGTAGGGGATGGCAGGTCACAGGATGGAAGTGGCAGAAATGATACAATTTCTTACTCCCGAAGAATCTCCAGCATGAGTGAGAAGTGGAGGGTCCTTCTGTCTGCCCCCTGGAGGCCCCACCCAGCTCCAGCTTGTCAATGCTCACCCCTAGACCTCTTATCTTCTCCCGCCATGCTGTCCTCCCTTCGCCAGGACATTCAGTTGGTGACCATCCACCCCTCTGATAAGGTGAGTAGGGGCCAGTGCCTGGGCTGACAGAGTAAAGGTGAGAGCTTTTCTGAATATGCTGCTGATGTCACCACGGCCACGGCCACCCATCGATCACCTGATTACAGTACTTCTAGGAAGGGAAGTTTTCCAAAGGTCATAGTCAACCTAGAGGGTGCCACTTACTTCCCTCTTCAAGCTATCCAGCTGGTGCCCAGACAGGGTGGAAACATAGCTTGAGTGGAAATGTGTGTGGTCATGTCTGGCTTGACCCGGATACACGGTCCTCACGGCACACAACTGAGCCATGTCTTTGTCTGTTTTCATGTACCTGCCTGTCTTGTTTCCCCCTTTCTGAACTGAAGACCGCCCAAGCCAGCCAGCGTGCTCCACCTTGTTTTCCTGGCACCTGTCCCAGGCGCCTGCTGCACCTGCAGGAGGGAGGGTCTGACGTGAGGTGCCCAGGAGGGCAGCCTAGGCCTGAGGACCCGCCCATGTACTCTGGGGTCTAAGGGTGGCCTTGCTCTCCACTGCTGTCTGCCTTTTTTTGGTTCCTGTCTCCACCTGGGTCCCTGAATATCCTTTACCCCCAATGGCTGCCAAGGGTGAAGGCTGTATGTATGCTGTATAAGCAGGGCTGAAGCAGCCCTCTACACATGAATTCCCTTCTCTCCCGTGCACAGCAAGAGGAAATCCCCTCCTCCGTGCCACCACTGTCTGCCAGGATCCCCAGTGGGCAGTCCCTTCAGCCTGCTTGCAGCTGGCTTCTCCCCTTCCCAGGGCACAGCCCCCTCTCCTGCCTGTCATTCACGCTTGCCTTCCAACTCCAGTTTAAAGACTCAATGTGCTCTAAAGCAAAGTTAAAGTCAACTCCTTCCTCTAGGGAGATGAAAGGAAGGGCAGAGGGGAACGTTCCCTCCTTACTTACTGTCCTTGATGATATCCCCGGGGAGGACGGAGGACCCCGGAATCACTTGGAGCTCGTGCAGGGAGGAAGCCAGCAATGAATTTCTGCTCAAGTCCTTCATCCCAGCTGGAGAAAGCCACCCTGGCCACATGCAGAAGTGTGCTGCGGATCCCAGCAACTGAGCAGGCTCTGGCAGGGATGAGCTCACCAGGATATGGCCTAATGGGTTAACTCTTTGCGAGCTGCTGGCACAGGCCCTTGGAATGTGGCTTTCTCAGCTCTGCTCAGACACTATTAGATGAATCTTGTGAAAAATTCATGATGCTTCTCCGCAGTCTGTCTTCAAGTTTCTGTGGAGGCACACATTTGGTTGGTGCCTGGGCAGGGCGACTTCTCCTGACCTGGGCTCAGAAATCAGAAGACCCGCTGATTCTGGGTTGGTCAAGGTGTGTGATAGTGATGGTGGTGGTGATGAGTTGCTAAAGAGTGGATTATAACCTATGACTGACTCAGAGGTTACACTGGTTCTGTTCAGTGCAGGTCTTAATAACTGGATCTGGGCACCCTGTTTTGGATGTTGGAGAAGGAACACACAGACTTATGAAATACCCTTCCTTGCAATTTGGCAGGGATATTCCTGGGAACTTTCCAGTGCCTGCTATAAAATGCCAGGAGCCCATAGCAGAACCCGCTCCCATCCCAGGTCCAGACATCTCTTGAAATGGAGGCAAAGCAGCCTGTTCTCCCTTGCTCCTCCAGTCTTTCCCGACAATGCCCCTGTTGCTTTTCCTGAGATGCCTACTGCTACGGCGATGAGAAAGAGTGATGGCTATCACTGCATGGGGGGGAAAGGGACTCCGTCTTTATAAACCAGACTGTGTCAGGGAAATTTGGTGTGAGCTGCCAAGTTTCCAGTTCTCAAGATGTTAATGGGTAAACTGGGATCAGCAAAATTGACTACGACTCTGAAAACTCGACTAGCCCCTGGTCTCGTCCATACTAACATGAGACTGTAGGCATCTGTTGCTTCTTAGGGTGCCAGGTGTCTACTGGGAACAGTACGTCGAGGGGATTCCTCTGTAGTCTGCAGGAAGGGCTTTCCCAGGACGGATCCAGGGAAGCTGAAGGTCAAGGCAGGCATGGGACTCTCTATCTCTGGTGTCTTGAGTTTCTCAACTGGAAAATGAACAGGAGATTCCCAGACTGGAGTGCTCTTTGGAGGCTGCTATGTGATCCATGGCTAAAGAAACAGGGAGCTAGAGGACTGAGCTTGCCCTCTGAGCTGCCATGGAAGATCATGCTGACCCTCCTCTGTGGAAGATGAGCATCTTTGTTCAGGGAAATGGGCAATGGGAGGCCTGCGATGAGTGTCAGGGGAACTTGACTTTGAAAGCTTTTAAGGATGTCACAGGATTTGCCTTAGGTGGGGACATTATACCCAAATCAGTTTGTAAAACTAAATGGCTAGGCTTATGCAGGAACCCTGGGGTGAATTATTTTGCAATGCAAAATCAAGTAATTCATTATTTCCAGAGTCCGAATGTCTGGGCATTCTCCCACCCTCTGTAGGGCGTGGCAGTGTGATGTAGTAATACCATCCACAAGAGTTAAACCCTGACCTATACTCCCTCTGTGCATCATTCTACGCATTTTATATATATGACAATTTACGTATTCCCCACACAACCATGAGATAGGTATATGAGGTATATTGCTATCACTGTATTTGACCTTGGACAAATTACTTTTCTGGGCTTTAATTTCCTCATTAATGGGATGTGATGATTGCTACATCATAGAGTTTTTGCAAGGATTAAATCAGAAAATATTCATAGCAAGTGCTTAAAGAATATATATATATAACATATATAACATACATACATATGTGTGTATACATATATATGTATATACATATATATATGTATATACATATATATATATGTATACACACACACAATGTGGCTTGATTTAGGGTCAGAGGAGAGTGTCCAGGGTAGAAGCTGTGTTTTCTGTGGGCTTCTTTCTAGCAGGATAGAGGAGAAGGCCTGAAAAGCCCGTGTGGTTCCTGGGCAGTTGACTCCAGTGTCCTGGGAAGAAGAGGTTGCTATTACAGTTCTGGTGTAAAAAGGGCCGAAAAATGGTTATGGACACTGCCTGGGGATCATTCTTGGCCTCTTATCCAGAATGCCCTAATTCCCAGACCAGTAGCTCACAGCTACTCCACCTCAGCTCTGTGCCCTCCTCACCTGAGCAGTGTGGTGATCCATGCAACAATGGTAAAGCAGAGTCACCAGACACCCAGGCTAGCAGGGACTGATAGGTTTCCTGAGATGTGGGACTTTCAGGGCTAAAATCAGGAACGTTCCAAGCAAAAACCGGTTACCTTAGTAAGTTTACCTTACTTAAACTTTTGGATAGTGGCATGCTGTTTGGGGTCTCTGTCCCTGTGCACACAGGGTCTCTCCTTCTGGAATGTTCTTTTTGCCTATCTTCATTTACCTAATCTAATTTGTCTGGCCTCTCTCTGCATCCTCCCTTCTCTGGGTCTTCACAGTTGTTCTTCTGGTCCATTATATTTTGTGATGATTGTCTGTCTGCCTCCACCCCGTCCTCCAAATTCCTTGGAATATTTTTTAAAATAAAAAATTTTATTATGGGTAAATTTAAACACACACACACACACACACACACACACACACACACACGACTTAAGTCCCCCCCACACGACTTAACCCCACAGTCCAGCTTCAACCATTATCGATGCTCATTCTTTTTTATTTGTCTCTCTTGTACATTTACAATTGACTCTCAAACAACATGGGTTTTAACTGCAAGGGTCCACTTATATATGAATTTTTAAAAGGAAATATATTGAAAATTTTTTTGAGATTTGTGACCATTTGAAAAGACTCACACATGAACCATGTAGCCTATAAATATCAAAAAATTAAAAAAATTAGATAAGTCACGAATGTATAAAATATGTGTTGACAATATCCTATTTATGTGTTAATCGACTTTATATTATTGGTAAGGTTTCTGGTCAACAGTAAGCTATTAGTAGTCAGATTTTGGGGGAGTGAAAAATCACACTCAGATTTGTTACTACCCCCTGCAGTGTTCAAGGGTCAACTGTATTTTATTTTATTTCGTATTTTAAAGTAAATCCCAGGCATTTCTTCTTGAGTAAATCCTTGCAAGTAGAGACGTGCTTTTCTAACAGATGACTTCCTCCCTTTCCTCTTTTTTCAAACAATAACCAGAGTGCCATCCTAATTATACTTGAAGTTTACGCATTCCTTAATGTTAACACCCATTCCATATTCACCTGTCCCTGGTGGTCTCAAAACTACCTTTTTGTAGGTAAGACTCTTCAAAGCAGGATACAAACAAGTTCCAGTTCATACTTGTAGTAGTTATGTCTCGGAAATTTCTTTCACCTTGAAAACCTTTCCCCCTTTTTCATACCACTTATTTATTGAAGATATTAGGTTTTTTTTGACCAAGACAACTGCCTGCATTTTGGATTTTCGCCTGCTTCCTTCCTCATGGTGTCATTTCATGCATTTCTCTGTTCTGCAAGGCCTGTGTCTTTGTTTCTACTGTGGCCCCAGATCCTAATATGGTGCCTTGGTCTGGCCCAGAAGAGATGCCCAACCAATAGATGGCCATGTGAGTATTCATAAAGTACTTTGCACTCTACAGAGGGCTTTGACCTGCTTGCCATTCGGTCCTCCTATGCCATAGGCAGGGCTGCATTTTAGATCTGCTTCTTCTCCATTATGACACTGGGACAGGTTGCCAAGACTGAAGACTTGGGATGCAGTGATCATTCCCACCACTCCCCTCCTGCCTCTCACACCAAGGCAGGGAGAATAAGAAATAGGAACCCTCTGATTAAAGGCAGGCCTCTGAGTCCTCTTGAGAGGAAGTGATGGCCCTGCGTATCTCTTGCCAATGCCAGTGCAGAGAGGGAATGAGATTTTAACTGTGGGAGGGAGTCTGGAGTGGGTTACCAGTACTGGCTGTGGGGATAACAAGCCGAACAGAGCGCCTATGCTGACATCCCTGTCTTTCTCTCTGCTTTGGTATCTTTTGATCATAGTCTATAACCATCAGGCAGCACATTATCCTAAACAAACACAGAAGACAGGAAAAACAAAACAAAACAAAACTAAACCCCACTACTATGGGAAACTCTGCTCAGAGGGAGTCCCAGACTGTGCCCAAGAACAGAGCAAGATAAGGAGACAGAGGAAGCTTGGAGGGAGCGGCTCCAGGGGGAGGAGGTTTGGGAGGGTTGGGGAAAGGAAGCCACCTTTTCCCACAAGACTCTAGGCTCTTTCTAATGGAGACAAGAAAAGTCATGCAAAGCAATTACTCAACTCGGACAGCTCCTGGAGGGGCCACCACCTTCCACCTGTGTCCCCCAAATTTGTCCTTGCTTTTCTCTTCCCTTCCCATGGTGGGGGGATGGCCAGGGAGGTGGGATTCTATGGCTCGAAGTCTCTTTTGGTGTGGCCCCCTTGGTCCTCTTGAGACTCAAGTGAAGATCTCTCCCTAATTGGTCTCCCTGGCAGCTCCTCTGGAAGCTACACAGCACCTAGGATGATGTTCCAAAAGCAGATTCCTCAGGGTACCTCCATGTTTGCTTTTCTCTTTCTTCTTGGCTCTTCTGAAGTTTTTTCCTTCTCTCTGTTTGTCCCTCTTCCTCCTTGTCTGCTCTGGCCTCACACATGAGACAATTCGCAATGGGTCCTAATCCTTCCTTCCAGGGAGACTCAAGGGGGATCCTGTTCCTTCTCTTTCTCTGGCAGATTGAGCAGATAATGTCAGAGACAGTGGCCGGCCTGGCCCTGCATGGGGCGTCTGGAGCGCTAGGTAGGCGGTGGGGATTTTATAATGGGGAGTTGGGGACGAGAAGAATGAAGGGACTGGTAGAGCTCAGGACTTAAGAGTGGAAGGGCGGGAAGAAGTGAGGGCAGTTCCCAGGGCGATCAAGATCTGCTAGCGCCTGCCCCTTCCTAGGAAGGGCCAGGCCGAGTGGGGCGCGTAGGCCGGGCTCAGGGGTGTGGCCAGAGGGCGCAAGTGGCCTGCTCCTGGGGTGCGGCTGCCATCTAGTGGTGAGTTTTAAGTAGTGTTGCTATCTAACTTCAAGTATTCCTTGGTCACTTCTTGTC